TCTGTCTTCCCATCTTGGGTACACATGCACACCGTATAGAAACTACTTGCTCTTAACTGAAGCAGGTAGATCTTCTTCATAAGAAAAAAAAATCTTCCTACCTCTCTCAGTATCATTTCATACTGTTTTCTGGTATCACTTTCATACTCCCCAAAGCTCATGGCTCACAGCTGTGCAAGTTCCCTTGATGATATGTATCTGCTAGAACCTCAGTTATTTCCCAGAACCCTGAAAGAAACAGATTTTATGTCACATGCGGTCAAAATCCTTCAAAATCAGCCATCGGGAAGAGTCTGGTCCAACCGAACATCCTGCTCAAAGGGTCTGTACGTAGGGAGACAGTCAGTGCCCTTGGATTACAGCTATGTTGACACCTCTAGGGAGAAGGAGCCTGTGGGGCATTATGTGTATATATACATATATTTAATAAACAAATAAATAAATTAATCGCAAATGCATGGGCAAAGAAACCTTGAGGAGAGGCTGAGGGAGCTGGGCCTGTTCAGCCTGGAGAAGAGAAGGCTGAGAGGGGACCTGAGCAGTGTCTAGAAGTACCTCAAGGGAGGCAGTGAGGAGGATGGGGCTGGTCTCTTTTCACTGGTGGCCACCGACAGAACTAGAGGAAACGGCCACAAATTGAAGCACCAAAAGTTCCACAGGAACTTAAGGAAAAAATTCTTAACAGTGAGGGTGCCAGAGCACTGGAACAGGCTGCCCAGAGAGGTTGTGGAGTCTCCTTCTCTGGAGATCTTCAAACCCACTTGGACGCAGTCCTGTGCCACGTGCTCTAGGTGACCCTGCGTGTGCAGGGGGGTTGGACTAGATGACCTCGAGAGGTCCCTTCCAACCTTAAAGGTTCTATGATTCTGTGATTTGAGAGCCCTCAGCTGGCCTCTGGTAGAGGCTGATGCGAAGAAACTCCTAAGATGCTGGTGTGCTGGAGCCTCTGGGATTGTGCTACAAAAGGCTTGATTTGGCAAAAGAGTTTTAGCAAAAAGTCCATTGCAACGAATTCATCTTCCAATCTGAGCATTCGAATTACATACCCTCTTTGGAGTCAAAGCACCATCCATAGTCCCTAAGAGACAGGCTAACATGATCCTCACCATCTGATGGGTTCACGGACAACTCAAGAGGCCAAAGGTCTAAATTACCCACCCTAGCAAGGTTATGTGACTTCATTCATGACACTTAATAAAGGGGATAATGATGGGAAATGGGATCCCAGAAAATGTCCAAGCTTCTGGAAAAAAATGGGAAACTGGAAAAAAAAAATCATGATAATCTCATTTTAAAAAATCCACTTTCAAAGGTGGTCATGTGTTGGCCACCTGCAGCCTCTCTGCTTGTTGAAGACTCCAAATGACACAAATGCATTATGCTCCCTGCCAACCATAGTGACTATTCTCAACCTTAATATTGGTTTTTTTTTCCAAGTTTCAATGTCTACACCTGCTTACCAGGCTAAAGAGTCACTAATCAAAACTTACTCTTGCTTAGGATCGCGCAGGTACATCTGACAGCACCTCTTTCCTAGCCAAATACAGCCTGAGAGCACTAACTGCACGATTTTGGCAATCCAGGCGAGTCTGTGAGCAGTGTATTTCTACTTCATGATCTTCCATTATGATCATTTTCTCTGGACCCAACTGAGCCAAGCTGAAACTTTCTGCATTTGCAGTGTAGTTATAGGCAAGGCATAAATACCTTTATTATTTATATAGTAGTTCTTGTAATAAAGGAATTGCTTATACCCCACAGGGAAAAAAAGAGTCCAAGTTTTCCCTACTTCCGATTTTTTTTTTTTTAAGTCTCATCTATTCAGGCATGCATTCTGCTCAAAAGGCCCTACAAACACCAGATGAAAATTCATAATTTCAACCTCCTGTTTCTCCATTTTGCCCTCAAACTTCTAAAGTTCTTTTCATAAGTGGGAGAGAATCTGAAAGCAGTTTTACCTTGATTTTTACATGGTTAAATCATTCCAGAAGTTGTACTCTGAGATCATAAGCAGCCTTAAAGGATACATACGTTCTCCCGCCTCAGGACGTACTCCAGCTGTTTCCCTTTCTTGGCATTTCTTCAAAATTCAAGCATGTGCCGCTGCTGTACCAGATCACATCCGCTGAAATGCTGCATTCAAAGGGCCTCTTCAATGTTGTTTTACTCTCCGGTTCATCCATAGCTTCCTACTAAGGTGTACACCTGTATCCCTCCAATTGCTGGTACCAACACAACCCATCTTTATTCTCTTCCAGCAAGGGAAAGATGGTGTAAATTTATCTAAGAAAACACAGCTTCTCAGGGGAACACATTTTGGCCGAGGTTAACCAGTCAGCCCATGCTATCCTCAGACAACCACGTTTTGTTGAGGTGGTTTGGTGTTGTGGGCGCGCGGTGGCACCAGGATGAAGTACACAGGGAAGGGAGGAGGAATTTGCACGTCTGCAGGACAGGGCAAGGAACAGGCAGTGGAGCCAGGAGCCCAAGAGAGGGCCCAGTGCCCTGAGCAGCCCTGCGTCCTGCTACAACTACACTCAAAAATCAAGCAACGAGGAAAACAACATACATCTTGCCTCCAAAGCAGAGCCCATCCTATATATTCCATATTACTAAAGTTATTTATATGGCTGACATGATGGAAGAGGCCAGTAATTTCAAACGATTCAGTTGATTTGGGAAAGCGCCAAGAGTTTCAGTTTAGCCTGAATACAGCGACTGTCCTTTTCCCAAATTTCTTACACGACCTCTAGGTTCCTTTGGCACGTGCCTCAGTTTACCAGAGCTTAACAATACGCATAATGCGAGTGCTGAATCCATCCTAAGGGACTTTTTTTTACCGTCTCTTTTTGGCCGGACAAAGGCAGCTTCCCTGAATGCGCAAATCTAAACCTGGAACCATAATTTATGGCAGAGACCTCAAGCAAAGGCATTTAAGAAGTATCTCGCCCTGCTTTGTCCTCCCATGGCCTCTCGGTTCTAGCTACGACGGGAACACTTAGAACATAAAGTGACGGTGAAAATCTGATACAAACCAGAGGGATGGTACGTCACCCGCTCCGGACTTCCCATGACTTTCCATACAGACTGTGCCCAGGCTGGCACCGGCAAACTGTACCCGACCACTCGCTCAATCCCACCAGAAAGAACATCTGCATTAAGTGTTTGTCATGCTGCAATCATGGGACTTGGACTATAACCTAGTCACTGTTGTTGGTCATGGTTATTTTGCCAAGACAAGAACAGCAGCTCTTTAACAGCATTCAAAAATTGAAACGCTTAAAATGGTTTGTGGTGGCTTTCTTATGTTTTAGCTAGAGAAGGAATTAAGGTATGTTTTATGTTTCCTCTTTGTTCTCTTCCATCCTGAACACTAAATCCAGCAGAAACCAAACTAATACCTATTCCAACACTGTTCTGACATAAAGCAAAAATAAATAGTTTCCTACGCAAATACTCCATCATTTTCATGTTACATTTGGCAGAACACTTTTCTACTGCAATAAAGTATATGATTTCCAAATTAATGCTGATGGAAAACAGAAAGAAAAAAGAAGTGCATGAAAAAGTTAAAAGTAAGAGGGACTTCTTTTATAAAATAACCGAGATGAAAGAGTAACTGCACCATCTAGAGGACACTGTATGTTCTCACATAGGTGGATATTCAGAACAAGTAAGATTAATATTTTGTGTTTTTTTTTTTTTTAGGTTTTGTATTTTCAGTTGAGAGTTACCCCAGTTGGAATTTAATCTTAACTACAATATCAAAAGTAAAATCACAGCTTAAAAATAGACTGATGCAAAAACTGTATTAGACTTTGGATGAAATCTACTTACAGTAGTACGTCAGCACCAAAAAGTGGGCAGTTAGGCTGATAGATGTATATACAATTAAATGATATGTCCAAGTCTTAAAATGCTTAGTTATTTATAATGAATTCTATACAAAACAGTTAAAAACGTGTTTTTTTATATACATTTGAAAAAAAAGAGGAAACTATTGTCTTCATTAGCAGAATGTATTAAAACTGATTAAAACTGGTTCTCTTATCCCACTTGAACCCAAACCTCTCTCTGTGGCTTGTAACTATCACAAAACCCAATGTATTGCTTCAACAAGCTAAGTCATAAGGCTGATTTCTGAAACCTTGCGCTGCATTCCGACTTACACTTTTAAATTTCCAAAATGTCACTTTAAAAACAGCATGTAAGAGAGTAAAATACAGATTTTTAAAAGCCATAGCTCACTTCTAAACTCAGAAGTTCAGCTTAAGATGCTGAACCATTTTTCCCCAATTTTGAAAAACTCATTTACACCAAAATACATCCACTCGCATCCCACTTGTATTAGAATTAACGCACCTGCCTGTTTAACAGGAACTTTTTAAACAACTTGGCCTCACTTTACATTTTATATTTAAATAAATAATCAAAGGTTAACTAGAGTAGATGAGCACTTCGTGTACTTACGGCACAAAGAAATGCTTCAAAACGCCATTTCCCCACTTCTTGTAAAGCATGAAAACAGAAGTCCACTAGCAAACTCACACTGCTACTAGTTAGTGATTTTGCTTATTTCCAAATATTCACCAACAAGGATTTTAAAAAAATAAACTATATTTTTAGGCTTATTAAAAATCTTAACTCTAAGTGAGCACAAGTGCAAGAAAGCTAACCAATTCCAAAATTCCTGGAGCTTTTCCAACACCGTCAGAGATGTTTTTTCTCTCACATGCTATTTAAAAATACAAATATTTATTAAACATTCTATTTTTTTTGATGGTGTTTTGCTCAACAGCTGACAAGAAGACACAGCAAAGTAAGGATCCCTTTTCACTGAAAGCTGTTTCAGTATCTGGGCAAGGGCTTCATAGCACGAGCTGCAGAATTCGCTGCAGGATTGCTTTTTAACAGGAGTACATTCCACTGTCACAGGTTTACTCTATCGTGGTAACTACATCTTTTTGGAAACCTTTTTTCCTTTTTCCTCTTTTTTTTTTTTTTTAATAAAGATGCAGCTTTTGCAATACTGTCTTGTTAAAACACACTGATGCTTCAAGGGTCCAATGAACATCTCTACTAAGCAAAGTGCTCTAAGCCATCACGATACAAGGGCATCTTGGATACTCGAATCCCAAGATATTCTAAAGTGCACTCCAGTGTCCCGATTCCTTAGGATTGTTCCGCAGAGCTCTGAGAGGGGCTGGGCTCCGTGCCGTCCTCAGTGCCACTGTCCACATCGCGCTCCATCGCGGTCTCCTCGTCATCCAGGCGCTGACTCGTGAAGTTGTTGAGCTCCAGGAGCCCGCTGGGTTCCACCACCACGTTGGAGCTGGAGTGACAAGGGATGGAATATTGAGGGATAGTCTGAAAGAGAGAGAGAAAAAATATCAGTTTGAACGAGCATGGTTTTCTAAGGTGAAGAGGTGCACTTTTCACGGGGAAAAGGATATTTGCTCTCCAAGAGCAAACTTTCTTCAAGTTTTCCCTAACTGTTACTTTTTTAATGTTGCCTTAGTTCAGACTTCAAAATTCCCTTTCGCAGGGTTGGGCTGTGAAAGATAAAATTAGAATAGCCTTGTTGTTAAAGGTCTGTTCTTTGACTCAGACCCTCACTGAAGGTCTGTGACAGACCTCGTGCACAACCAGCATCTAAAACACTGATAGCCACAACCCATCATTCCCCAAGTGCAAAGCAGAGATAACAATTTTGGCCTGATCTTTTTCTTATCTTTTTCAGACTATAGCATAGATCTCCTGTATTTTCTGTATATAACACAAAGAAGCTCTGGCCCTGTTCAGAGCTGGAGTAGCACAAAGGCTGAGCAAATAAAATGAATCCATTTACTTCTAATTCTATTCTCAAAGGTTCTAGAACTAAAATTGCATCTTTATACAACTGAAATTCTGGGCAGTATCTGGATGCTCAAGCAGCACACAGCATGCCATAGTGGTTAGCAATTAGGCAGGTTGAAAGCAAACCAGAAATGTTTGTCTATCTGGGGAAATGAGGGCTAAAAGTACAAAATGATGATTTCTACAAAAACAAAGTTAGCGGCAATGAAGACTTTGTTACAAAGTAAACATGGAAAAAAAGTTAGTTCTGTACACAAGTACTTTTTCTACCCAAAGTTGTTTCACTGTAACACAATTACAACACACAGTAAAACCATTTCAATCCTCACTGTAATTCCTGTGTACATACACACTGCCAACTTGTCTAGGCAGATTCATAAAACATTGCTGTAAGTCCTCAGATGATTTTAAACACCTCACCAGTTGAGATTCTGATCATGTATTGCACCATAAAACATCACATTCAAGGCAACAAAAATCAATGAAAATATCATCATCAGTTAGGCAGTGGTTCAAACCATTGAAGTTAAAGATCCACAGAGTCATTTTATGCCAGCAGTGGCAAAACTGTTTTTATGTGAAGGTAAAACACTTTTTGAATCCAGACCTCCTTTGCTGAACTCTCCCAGTTAGCAAAACGCCCCTACTTCACTTTTGTGCCTTAGGTAATTGCACACTCAAAATTATTAGATACGATAAAAAATTCTAGATCGTAGTTCCATAGTAAGTGGTGAAGGTCACATTTTTAAGCCTTACAGACAAGAGTAGTTTGTGAAATTAGATGAGCTTGGTTGGTTCCTTAGCGGAAAAATCAAAGGAAAACACTGAGAACACAGTGAATGACACATTGCTGCAGAAACTCGAGCTCAATTCAACAAGCACTAGGCACTTCGAAGCCGTAATCCATCGCAAGTACAAGGGTAGATAACAAAAAAATGAAAATGAAAAAAAAAAATTGTTCAGCTGCTATCATCATATTAGCCAAAGCCCGTTTGCTCTGTTCAACCTTTGCCTTATTTGCTCTGGTCTTCTCTTACCTGGATAACAATTTCTGATGAGCTCTCTTCAGCTTGCTTTTGTGATATATTCTGAATGTGTATAAACTGCTTTGTTGTAGGCATTCCTTGTGCATCGAGTTTCCTCTCTGTTAAAGTAGGACCGACAGCAGGACTTGGGCTGGATTCGTTAGCTCTCTGTTGCTGGGGGATGGAAGTTGCCGTCATCCCTAGCGCTGTCACCCTCGGCACCTGGGGACAAGGGGACGACTCGGCTCCGCTAGCGAGTTTACCAGTGGACAGGGCCTTGCCTGGGGGATCCACTATCATATTCTCTACGTTTGAATCAACCTGAGCTTCCACCATAGACGTTCTCGAGGTCTCTGCTACTGCTGTCTTCATGGGTGCCCGCGTGGGACACGGGCTCATGCCTGGCGATGCCAGGGTGGGCACAGAACTGCCCCCTGCTACCTCTGAAACAGGAGGAGGCTGATACCCCTCAAAAGTTATCTTTGTAACAGTAGATCCTTGCGTTAGAATTGGAGGCTGCACCTGAAAATCAAATTGTTGTCGTGCACGTTACAGCTAGGTTTTTATTGAAATCGATATTTTTTTTTCCAGGGACAGGGTGGCACAAACAACATACTCGCTATTAGGAAGACAGTTGAAACTCAGTGTTTTAACAAAGGAATTAGCAATGATATGGTAACAGTTAATGGAAGCCTGGGGAAAGGCAGATTTTGGGGCTGCTAGACAAGGATTGTAGCAGCATAATACCACAGCAGCCTCGTTTTCCTTTGGGATTTACATCCCCATAGAACATGTGCTAACACTCTTGTTCTTATATATATATGCCTGAATGGGACAGAAAAAAGTATACTTTTCTGTAGGTAAAAGAAGTATTTTTTTCTTCCACATTTTTTAGTCTTTAAATTTTCCCCTCCCAAGGAAAATCAAATTACTCCTGCACATAAAAGGCCGATGTAAACTACAAAGGAAGACGTACAATGGAGAGCCTTAGGAGACTGCAGCGTATTCACCTTTATTTCCACAGAAATAAAAAGTGCTACGGGAACGGAAATTAATAATGTGTCGTATCTAAAAAAAAGAAAATAATTAGGGACAAATTCCATGCACCAATGGTGGCAGAAATTCATAAAAAACTGTCCAACAAAACACATTTGTGAGCTCTATGGATTTTTTTCCCCTATCACATGTGCTTCTCTTTCCTAGTGTCAACCTTCTGATATGGTAATTAATACCAGCGGAATGAGGAGTTATCTCTTGCCAGGAGAAAACACTGCTACAGCAACAGGGTTGGTGTTTGGATTTTTGTTTTGTTTTCCTTGAACAGCGACGTTTATTTTGCATGCTATCAATATTCCGTTACCTGGCTTGCTGGCTGTTTCTCTGAAGAGGCAGGTAGCTGCATTTGACTCTGGGGGGGTTGGGGTTGCACGTAGATTTTTTGTGCCGTTGGTGCCTGTTGCAGTTTGGGCAGCTGCTGCGTGGTTTTTACTGCAAGCACCTGTACTACAGTTTGCTGTGGCTGTGCCACTAAGGTAGGGAGTTGCCTCTCTTTGGCCATCATGTGGTGTGGGGGGTGCTGTGCATCTGGTTTGGTCTGTGCTTGCTCTTGCTGCAGGGGGGTTAGCTTTTGATGCCTTATGGAAAGCTGGGGCATTTGTGGGAGTTTGTGCTGGATTTGATCAGCCTGCAGGTGGATTGTCTGCTTCTGCTTAGTCTGGAAACACTGCAGAGTTTTCACTTGCAGTTGAGTCTGTTCCAGCTGCGGTTGACTCAGTTTTTGCTGCTTCTGTGCCTGCGACTGTGTCAGGGCAGATCTGTAAAACAGGCCAGTCTGAGGATCTAAGGTGTCCATCTCTTCCACTTCTCCTTCCTCAGTTCCAAGCTGCTCACTGTGTTTGGTAAACGCAGTGTGACTGCTTAAGGCCTTAAGAAGAAGTTATAAATGAGTTAGTAAAGAGCAGTCTCAGTTATAAAGAATACATCATCTTACAAAAAAAAGTTTTATTCTTCCAATCGGTCTGCTACTGGACTATTTAGTTTTACCTTATTTTTAAAATAAAATATATTTGTTTTACCTTCACAGACTACCAACTCATACATTAGAAAAAAATCACAAAACAACAATACCCTTCCAGAGTGGATTCACAATACCTAAGCAACCATAGCTGTTTTTCCCTTGATAAAACATATTATGTCTCTATGTAAAAATATTATCTGCATAACTAATTCTCAATGGTGATTATATAGCCCTTGTACTCGCCAGACTAAGGTTCAAAATCATTCAAGTTCCATAGCAATTTGATATGAAGTCTTATGGGTCTTTATTAAAACCAGAGTCTCTCAACATTTTAAATTCTAATCCTGCCTCAAGAGCCTTGTTATCTTCTGCATTCCTTCCGCAGCTCCCTATATACCTAGAAACTATTACTATTATAACCAGATCCTCTCTTCTTCCTCAAAATCGTATTGCAATTTTTCTTGTGCAGGGCACAAGCACCGAATTTTTGAGGGAGCTAAAGGTGCAGGAGATCTATATTACTGTGCTCTGTATTGCTATTAACTATCTGTTAATAAGTGTTGCCAGCAGTAGGAAGGAACCCAACATGCTCTGAGGCAGGTTTACGACCTGTCTTTGTCCAACTGAGCTCCCCACACATTACAGCAGTGCAGAGTTGACTTATGTGCATTTACCTGCTTATAGCTCTGTCATTATTCTTGTGTGACAAAAATGCCACTTCTGAAATGAAGGAATCAATGCAATTTCAGTAAGATTTTGTAGGGTACAAGATTTGCTTTAGTGATTTGGCCTCTTTGGAGTTCCTACCACATGTGTCTGAATATAATCCTTTTGGTTTAGTAAGTAGAGAAGTTTGTATTTTCACAAACTAAAGCCCTCTAAATTAAAAGAGATCGTATGCTCTGTGATACAGAGCCTGGGTTCTGCTTCATCCCTCCTGCCCTACAGCAGGGCTTGAAGAAGGCAGCCCCTCTGCAACGCAGACAGAAAAGCAAATTGGTTCGGTTGAAAAGAACCAAAAGAACCGACCTCATCATCCTTCCAACCAAAACAGGCACCATTTAAATGAAGCTATTAATGTGCAGCTGCACTGGCAGCAACATGACACACTCAAATCAAGCTGTGGTCCTAGGTAAGGCACATAAGCTACGGCTGCACAGGCTGTTGGGAAAAGAAAGGGTCCAACCTGCTGCATGATATGGGTAATTGCGCCCGTAGAGGATGCGGGGATGGACTTCACCACCACGGAGGTCTGCGTTGCCGTCTGCGACTGGGCCACGTGCTGCAGCAGAGTCCTCTGGGGCTGCGACGACGGCTGCTGGGCCTGCGAGCGGTGGCTGACTAAAAGGAAAGAGGTGAGTGGAGCTTCTCCAAAGCCAGCGGCGGAAATTCCGCTGTCTGCCTTCGGAATAAAGAGCTGAACGTGGAACAAGACTTTTACTGTATGCTAGCTTCAACCTCAAAGCGCAGGTTTATTCCGAGATGCAACTTCAAATAACATCTCGGGGGGTTCTTTTTGTCCCTAATTTCTAAGCGATCATGCTTGGCCTGTATCTCCCCTGACCTCCCTCTCCCAAAACACTGGCTTTGTAAAGAGCACCTATGCTCCATCTTCAACGGGGTTCTTCATACATCACTGGCACAACACTAAAGCACAAGTCATTCTGTAATATTTACACTGCTGAAAGCACTGACTGCAATTAAGAACAGCAAGCTTTGCCCCCTAAGTATCTACTGATGATAAATTGTGAGAAATCACCTTTGGAGCATGGCTTAAATTTGTAGGACTGGTAATTAGAAAATTACTTGGGAAATAAGAAAGCAAGGAAGATTGACCAGAAATCACAGATAGAAAGGGAGACCTTTTCATTGGTCTAAGTCACTTTTTAGAGCAAATTTAATATAGGTTATGAAGCTATGGTTATAGCTCTGTCATTAAACAGTGGATTGGCAGAAAAATGATCTTCAGGTGAGGGAAAAAAACAAACCATTCTGTATTGCAGTCATCGATAAGCCAAGGAGTCACTGACACAACAAGAATCCAAATTAGTTTATGCCAGCGCATACAGTATTTAAATTTACTTTAATTAACTTCTAAAATGTCACAAAATACTGAGGAAGTAGTAGTAAAGAAATTTTTATATTCAGTTATTATACAATTGAAGGCTGAGAGTTACTAGGGATCTTGCTGACAGGCCAAATTTTGATTCAAGATAATAATTTTACTTTCTCACTCCAAGAAAGGAGTTGCATTATATTGATACCTGCCTGCATGCTGTGCCAGATCTGCCATGAATACCCCCAACAGGTCCTGCCAAATTTAAAACTTCATTTAAAAATAAAGTTTCTAACCTATATGGTTGTGTAGATACTCTTCCGAATGTGAACCAATACAGTGTTGTCTTCCTGAGTCTGCAGACAGATAAAAAATGGTAACGCTGAGATGTGTGAACTGCTCCTTTCATCTCACTAGGAAGTTCATGCTGATCCCAACTCCCATTTGTGCCTCATCCTATAAGGTCCATGCATGAGACTTCCCCACAGGCTATAGCTTGTTTACTGTCTTACTAATGAATTTGCTAGCAGAAAAGAAAATATAGCTGCTTGGATTACTGGAGCATCCTGAGACCACACATGAAAACCAAAGGAAACGCTCAATTCCCGGCGTTCCCTCGTAGCGTTCACTGCAACTAGGGGAAGGAGGAGGGAAAAGGAAAAAGGTAGGAGCAAAATAACCAATTTTGGGCTGTAACAGTTTGCCCCAAGTCAATCCACAGAATTTCTGTGACAGAGTCTTGTAAATCACCTCATGGTGTACGAAAAACATTATTTTCATATAGTGGAGTGTTTCAAACTAGCTCAGAGTCATTTTTTACAGTATGTCCCAGGGAAAGCTACACATGGGACCAGGAATACAAGCACAGTCGATGCATCTGATTGTGCCAGGGAACATGACTGACTCCTGTGTTAACCAGAGACGGGTTTGACACTATTTGGTGTGCTCCTGAATGCGTTTTAGAAGGAAACCAAGACAGCATGACTCAAATATTCAAAATTGAAGCCAGATACAGTAAGCCCTATTTCAACAACCTCAACAAGCCTCCCGAACACACACAATTCCACCAAACTTAGACGTTACAAGGAATGGAAGTGAGAGGTGGAAATGCAGAAGAGGAGAATGAAAAATGGAAATTTGACATTGAATATCTAATATTAGAAACCCTCAAGTTCGATATGAATTTACATATTTTAACACAATCAAGTTTCATTCTTCTTTTCCAGCGCATACTTTTGTTTTTGTTTTCCAAATCAGAGATCAATAATTTGAATGTAATAAATTAAAACAAACAAACAAAAAAATTGATCAATTGATCCTTTCACATATATACGGGATGTGGCTCCAGGCTAGTGTCCTAGGGTAGTAGAGAACATGAGACTCGTAATATAATTAGACTCATAATATAATTATCCAGTGGAAGGGATTCGAGGACTGGGACAATACAGGAACCCAGACAGAAAGTGTCAGACTTGATTTTTTTTTTTAATGGGATTCAGCCCCCAAAACTTAAGTTTAAATGATTCCTTTGCCTGCAACAGGCAAATTCAGCAGTTAGAGGCCTTCTAGCAAATGAACAAGATGGGGAATACATTAGAAGGCTAAATGCTCACCTGGCCAAAAGGCCAACTTTTGCTGGTAAGCACTAACATTTTGCAACTATGAATTAAACTAACTCGAAGTCTGACTCTTCTCGATATGCACAGAATCAGTACATAGTTTCTGCAACTTCATTTTTTGTTTTTTTTTTTTTTCCTAAAGGCAAGAAGTGGAACAGCCCGTCCTTACCATCACCTCAGAAGACAGAAAATCTGTTTAAAACTACTATTTCTTTAAGAAATGACCCTTTCTTTGCATTAGGAACATTCTCCAACAAGCCTTAGAAAGGCAGATGCAATCCCTGTCCCCTGCAGAGGTTCTAGAAAAAACAACACACACACTCATTTCCACTACAACAAGATATAATGAAATACATAAATGAAACCCGTCCCAAAAAAACCCCAAAAGGAAGTCCCTAGACTTCAATTGCAAACCCATCATCCCAAAAATACCTCAGTCACTTACCAGTTGTGATATATTCAGCAACTAACTCTGACTCTACCACAGCAATTGAAGGACTTTCTGGAGAATGCCTCTTTTCTTGGGTCATCTGGATTGGGACAGCCATTTGGCTCAAGTCAATGGTAGGTTGTCTTGGCTTTGATTCCAGCTTCTCCTTCACTGCTTTAAAAGACAGCAAAAGTGTCAGATTTAGCAAAACAAACCTCCAATATGAATGCAAGATTTAATTAAACAGATGGTGAATATTCTACAATGGTTTTAAACAAATTTTACAGGATAAAAGTGCAGGAATCAAATTGATTCAAGGCAGGTGCTTTTCAATTGCAAATTGCTGCTTAAGGAAGTGGCAGCTGACTGCTTTGAAGTGAGCCTAAGGGAAAAAAGAAAAAAAAATCCAACATGCATTTTCATACCTGTTGTCTGCTGAAGTTCCAGCAAGGCTTTTATCGTGGAAGTAGCTGATTGAGATTCACTGGATACATCCTGGTAAATTATTGTAGGGCTCGTGTCCACAGCAATTTCATGCTCTGACCAATCCTGACTTCTTGAAGCAATCACATGGACTACAGGCTGAGAATCTGTTTGCAAAAGAAGGGCACACCAAATCATCACAGAACCACTGGGGTAGAGACTTCAAAACGCTTGCACAAAGTGGGACTAGAGTTCAAAATCGATCACGTTGTCCATCAGATTTCTGGATACAGGCACGGGTGCATGTTTTCATTCTGCAGCACTTTAGATTTTATTACAAGTGACTCTTGAAGCAAAACACAGCTACTGCTATCAATAGCTTTCAATAAAAGATTCTGTTTCTTAGTTGCTTTTAAAAGCCTTGGTTTGAATCATCAAAGTTTAGCAGGTTACTTTGAATGTTGAACCTCTCTTGGATTGAGCTTTTTTCAGAAGGTTTTAGAGGCTCAGCAGATCAAAATATAGTCAGTACTCTGCACTTGAACACATCTAAAATTTGTTAAGTTTGCTAAATCTTCAAAACTTTTTCCAGTTTACTTAAAATGATGGTACACACCAACAGTTCCAGAATTATATGGGTGACCAATAGAAATTGAATAAAATTCAGAATAGAAAAGGCACTTAAATATTTAAGTTGAAAGTGTTTCATAGGCAGACATTTGCTTCTGTCTAACACAGGGATAGGCCCTACGGTTACTCCTGATCACAGTCTGGCTGCTATTTATGCACTGATCTTCCTCTGCCATGTTAGGAGAACTGCATCTGCTGCTATCATGGCATGAAGCCAGGGCAGCACCTGCAGAGGGGTGCAGGTCTGCTCTATCTGCTGATACTCGTGCAAGTTCCCATAAAAGGGCTGAAATCTACGTTGGCCACATGTATGAGGTCCCAGACAGGCAATGGAAAGATAATGCAACGAAAGATAATGCAACACCTACCTTGGGAGCTCTGGGAGGACTCTGTGGACGACGAGCTGCTCTCGGTGTAGCTTTGTGGTTCTTCTTTCACCTCTGGGAGAGAAGAGTTTCCTGTCTCTGTGACCCTCGACGCCTGCTGTAACGTTTCAGTCACCAACTGCCTCGTTTGCTCGCTCACAACCGTTGCTTGGAATGTCACTGGCTTTGGCTTTATAAGAACCTAATTGGAAGACAGATTCTGGGTATATTAAGCGCACTCAGGAAACTAGAAGTGAGCAATCGAGCAAAAGGATGATGTGCCACTAAAATAGATTAATATGCAAGACCTACATTATCATAGTATTATACTAAAAAAGTCTACCTGGGAATCCACAACTCTGGTTATTAAGCTACAAAGCACTAATAAATGGCAGTGCACAAGAATATACTTCTCATTTCAGGAATGTGCAGTGGTAAAGAATTGTTGTTCAGGGTTGGGTAGAACTATAGAGCAGACAAAACAAAGCTGGCTAAGTGGCCTGGGACATGCACCACAATAACAGGACTTTTCTTCTCCATGTAATGTGCAGTGGTAAAAAGCTGTTCTTCAGGGCTGGATACAACTATAGAGCAGACAAAACAAAGCTAGCTAAGTGGCCTGGGACATGCATCACAATAACAGGACTTTTCTTCTCCATGATATACTAGCCATGATCTAGTATTGAACAACCAAGACACAAACAACAGCAGATGAAAGTTGAGTTCTGTTTATGTAGCACGTACAACCAGAGAAAGCTGAGTGTCCAGAAACAGGCCAGATTCTGTGTACAGCCCCACCAACCACACAAGGCTGCAGGTACAACTTGAAGATACACTAAACCATATATAGATCAATTTCAATGAAATTCCCAATTTTCAAAGATGAGCCATCTGCCCAGAGCAGAAGACACAGCATTTTTATTCCTCATGACTTAACCTTTAGCTTTAAGTCTTAACCAGGGACCTAGAGCCATGTTCAGACATTTTAAGTTTCACCTATGCTCAGTACTTTCCATGTGGCTTTCTCTAGGCATCCAGAAACAGCTAACAGTGCAAACACTGTGTTCAAGAAACCACAAACAAGGCTACCTGATTAAGATCCTATGTCTTATTTTCCACAGACAAATACTACATACATTAATCCCTGCAAAAGATGTGGCAATACAGTGATAAATGATTTACTTCCCGTTAAAATTTCGGGGTACATTTCAAGACAGAAATGGGACCTCACTGTACCTGCGTTTTCCCTTGCTGACCATAAACAATTTTAGTTGGGATGATTTTGGTGGCTGGCTGGACCGTGGACCCTATTCCTTTTGGCTGTGTAACAATCATTTTTGTGATGGGTCTTGTGGCAGTGATGATAGCAGGTTTTGCTCCTGCTGGCACTGCCTGAATAGTTTTCTCCCCCTGCAGAGAAGCCAAAATTTACAGGTTAACTGAGTGAAATACTTTAGAGAGAGACCTGCTTCTCTTAAAAAAAAAAAAAAAAAAAAAAAGGAAGAAATACAATTACACACGACTGCATACCATGAAATCAACTTGCTGATGTTAGAACTGGATGTATTTAAGATGAAGAATGTTAAAAGATGAAGAATTAAAAAAAAAAAAAAAAACCCTACTGCTTTGAATGGAAAAGCTACCAAAACTTCATTTCATAAGTTTTGAACTAAAAAAAAAAAAAAAAAAAAAAAAAAGCAAAATATAAATTAAATAACACTGACAAGTTTTTGAAGTTGCTTCAAAGAATTAATGCAAGCTGGAACTTCCCTCAAATCCTTTGCAGAAGTTTTTCAAAAGTTCTTATTTCTAGCAAAACTAATTTGGGCAAGATATTTTACAAAATCTGTATCAAATTTAAATCTTATAAAAAGAAATGACATCTTTGTATTATCATCATCACTGAAATATTAAGTTTGGGTATTTTTTTTAAAATAAAAGTTAACGTATTGAAAAAATGCAGATTCACAATTGTTTCATGGAAAGCTGATTTTGAAAGACTTATGATACGAGTAAAATATTGATATTTTAAGAACAGGATGAAATTGAGCAAGCTTGTTTTTTAATGCTGCACAGTAATAAAGCAGATGAGGTATATTTCCCGTATTCCTACCAATTCCCATCAAGCAGATGGGAATTCTAAAAAACATCATTGCCTTAGATGTACCATTGCATTTTCCTGTTTCCTACTTTGTAGCATGATGAGATTCCTACTTTTGTGAAAACTGCTTGAGCTATTTGCTCTTAAATTATAAAAAAAAAAAGTTTGAAATCTTCTTAAAAAAATCCTAGGAAGGGAAAAGCACTCAACATACTCCCCTATTCAGCTCTGCAACGCAAGAAGATACTGAAGATTACACCATTAAGGTACTATCACATAAATCTCTCAGTTTTATCTAAGAATGTACAGCAGGTTCATCATTTTGATAAGTCAGCACTTGAAGGTGACCCCCGCTGAAGCAAGAAACTTGATTTTGTTCTTCCCACACATCAGGTTATCCAAAAATAATTCAGCACTATGCAATACTCAGGAACAGGACGTTGCAGTACTATGACCTACATAAAAGGTAGCACCCTTACTCTGAAGGTACCACTTATTTCTGCCTTTAGCTACAAGGGAGACACAGCTGGAGATTCAAATTTATGACGCAGGACCGTGGTCTCATTGTAACACCAGTAGCATTAACATTTGAGTCATTTTATTCTACTTCATGCCTTCGGGATTACAAAGTCATCAACTAGGGAAAAAAGGCAAATACAAAATTGAAACTTTTTATTTTAACTTAATTTCTGGAAGATTCCCTGCTTGTTTTAAGGATCTTGCATATCGTGCAGAACACACTTGCTTCTCAAACATGCCTGACACTAGGACATGCTGCATCTGTTAAGTAATTCATGCACAGTTTGCTTTT